AGGCCTTCCTCACGGAGGACCGACCAGGTGTGTGTGTGTGTTGCGGGGAGGAGGGGGGCGGTCAGAGGTGCGTCCAACAACTGGTTTGTGTGCAAGCCTGGGCCTCGCTGGGTCACACAAACTGGTCCTGGCCGGTTTTGCTTGGACAGAGGGCTCTGAGCAGACAGGTCAGGGGGTGAGGGGCAACTTACTGAAGATAAATGGGGTACCCTCCCAGAAACCACCTCCTGCTGGCTCCCACCCCACCCCACCCCACCCCCACCTCGAGGAGCCAGATCCAGAATGTTCCAGCACTGACAGCAGAAAGGCAGGCCCCGGGGAGCACAGGGTGGGCGGACAGAGCCAAACTCTCTGGGCAAAAAGCAGGGGAAGTTCCAGTCCCTGGAGCGTGTGCTGTGGGCCCTGCCCGGGGATCCCAGGAGGCAGGGGGAGCGGGGGCCTCGTCTGCCTGCAGTTCTTTCTCCCTGTAACCTGCCCCTCCGGCTGCCACAGCGATGCCCTGTATCCAGCTTTAAATGACCCACATTCTTAAAATGCCAAAATGGCCCAGCTGGTGTGGCTCAGTGGTTGAGTGCTGACCTATGATCCAGGAGGTCAGGGTTCGAGTCCTGGTCAGGGCACAGGCCCTGGTTGCAGGCTCAATCCCCAGTGTGGGGCGTGCAGGAGGCAGCTGATCCATGATTGTCTCTCATCATAGATATTTCTCTCTCTCTCCTTTCCTCTCTGAAATCAATAAAATGTATATATTTTAAACTGCCACTTCTTCACCCAGCAGCTTCACTTTAAGGGATCTCCCTAAAGACCATCCATCATGAGGCAAAATACAGGGGATATTAACACAAAAATGTCCTCGCAGCATTTATGATTCTAAGGACCCCCCTCCTACCCCCAGGCAGCCGCACCGGGCAGGGGGCAGCTAAGAGCCAAGGAATGTTACAGCCGCCACACACGTGGGCGGGAATTCCGAGTCACAGCCCCAGTGTTCATCTGTGAAAGGGTTCACAGTGGCCTAAACAGCAAGGATGCAAACTGGGTAGAAACACACACATACACACACACACACACACACACACACACACGGCATTACCAGATGTGCACAAAATATACCACGTTTCATGGTGGTTGTCTGAGTGCTGGAATCGGTAGCACTTTTTAGTATATATACTCGTCTGTGTTTTTCCAAGTCTTCAGCAATCAGCATCTTACCTAATCATAGACAAACATGTAAATTGACCGTACCTTTGCTATGCTAACCAGCCAATCAGGTGAGTGTGCAAATTAACCCAATGGCAGTTAATTTGCTTATGTAGGCTCCAAGCGGTGGAGCAAAGCCTGGCGATGACTCAGACCTTCTGCCCCAACCCGCTGGTGGAGGGCCTCTGGGCCTGCTTGGTCAGCACTGCTGCCGGGATGGAGGAGCAGAGACACAGCCCATAGGGGGGCCCGGCCCTCAGCAGCCCCAACCCCCACAGCCACAGAGGCGCTGGGGACACTGGGGCTGCAGCAGAGACACAAATCGGCAGGAAACCGGTGGAAAGGGAGATAAACTATCATAACTTCATCTCCCTTTCCACAAGATGAGAAAACTGACCCTGATTTATCTGGTGATATGGCCCACACCTTTCTACAAGCACAGGGTATGTTAGGACCACTCCCAGGAAGGCCTGGTCAGAATACTGTCTCCAGGGAATAAGGCTACTGTGGCAAATCATCTAAGAGAGGAAACAAGCTTTTGTTGGGTTTATTCTGAAGGTCAGAGAACAGGCCACCCCAACATATGCCATGTTGTTATACTGACGATCTTGACCTGCAGATGCTTGAAAAACAGCAAATGCAAGGAGAGGTTTTCACTGAAGTCTCCTTCTCTGCCTAAAATCGGACCCCCCAGAAGGTTCCCTTGATGGGAAAAGTGCCATCAGCCAGTGAAGACTGACTCCTGTCACAGGACAGGAGACTAGAAGTTGACATCACACCCAAACTTTGTTACAAACTATCTCCCCCACCCCCATTCATCTTCCCTAAAAATCATGTACTCTCCTCTAAGAGGCCTACATATCCCGTCCCCTCTCCCTAGGAAGAAGGTATTTAAATCTGGATTCTAAGCCACCTTGGGGAGTTACTCATTTTTCCCTGGGATCTCCCACATATACACGAGGTACACATGTTAATGAACTTTGGTTTTTCTCTTGGTAACCTGTCTTTCATTACAAGGGCCTCCGCTAAGAACTCAGAAGGGTAGAGGAAAACTGCTTTTCCTCCATAATTCTACCTTGGGAAATCAAGTCCCGGGCTGAACAGTGAGTTTGGCTCAAGTGCCAAGCAGTCCCGGCTGAGGGGAGGGAAGCTTCTAGGGGGAAATCAATGATGCTGGCATCAAAGTGGGACGGAGGGCACACGCAGGGGTGCTGGTGGGAGTTTAAAGTGATTCAACATTTTTGGAGGATGATTTGGCAAAATGGATAGACATGTCCAAGGTACATCCAAGAGTCTTCTAGGAATCTCATCTGCTGAGATAAAGCACGAGTGCTTAAGCCCTGGTCGGAACCCAGGATGCTACTGCGGGCTCCCCTTCCATGATGGGAAAACCTGCTACCAACCTGCATTTTTAGGCAAGGTGGCATCTACACTAATACAAAGGTAATATGCTAATTAGACTGACCATCTTCCAGACGACCTTCCGGACGTCCTTCCAGACAAAGCCATGGTGGCAGGGCTGAGGCAGAGGTGGTTAGAGGCGATCAGGCAGACAGGGGAGAGCAGTTAGGGGGATCAGACCATCAGGGGAGAGCAGTTAGGAGGATCAGGCCAACAGGCAGGTGAGCGGTTAGGTGCCAGCAGCCCCGAGGGGTTCCCTGATTGGAAAGGGTGCAGGCCTGGCTGAGAGACGCCCCAACCTCCCCCGCCCTCCGCTCCTGTGCACGAATTTCGTGCACCAGGCCTCTAGTTGACAAATAAAGGGAAAGGAATCATTTTCAAAGACCATGTTTAAACCGAGTGGATGCACACGACATTGATTGACAAGAGGGGCGGGGCAGGGGGCAGCGGAGGAGGAAGCCCTCTTATGCTTGTACCTGATTTGTACCAGCCTGGGGGGGCCTTTTCAAAAATAAATAAGTGAAGGTCTTTTACAAGGAAATAAGCCCAGGCACTGAGCATGCCTGAGGGGGGCCAGGTAAGTACCTTCATTGCCGAGGGGGGCTCTGGGGCCAAAGCCACTGCCAGCCTCCCAGGACCCGGCTTGTTATGGGTGTCGGCTCAGTACACGTGGAGCCTCCAGACCCCCAGGTTCAGGAGTGGGGCCCTCTCCTGCCGACACTGGTTCCCAGAGGAAAGGCAGGCTGGCTTGGGGGGTGGGGGGCGGTGGCTTCAGTGGCCATTGGTGTGGGACCTCTGACCCCTGTGCCCCTGGGCCTGGCAGAGGGCCACCCCACATGGGTAACCCCGTCACCTTGTCTGATAGGAGAACCATCCAGATGGGCCACCCTGCCCAGCCCTGGAGCAGCACAGAAGGGATGGAGGCAGGCGGCCACCCTGGGCCCAGGCTGCTGGAGGGCAGTGTCTGCGAGACCAAAGGCTCCGTCCTTCCTGAGGCACCAGGGGTTCAATCCACTCCCCAGTTTTCTTCTTTTTTTTTTTTTTTTTAATATATTTTATTGATTTTTTTACAGAGAGGAAGGGAGAGAGATGGAGAGCTAGAAACATCGATGAGAGAGAAACATCGATCAGCCGCCTCATGCACATCTCCTACCGGCGATGTGCCAGCAACCAAGGTACATGCCCTTGACCGGAATCGAACCTGGGACCTTTCAGTCCACAGACCAACGCTCTAGCCACTGAGCCAAACTGGTTTCGGCCACCCTCCAGTTTTCTGTGCACATGGAGGGGCAGGGTCAGACCATCCTAGTCAGGATGGCACCCCCCATGCACACACACACTCCCAGGGCGGCAGAGCAGCGCCCCCTGGAGGCTCTGGGAGGTGGAGCAGCGCCCCCTGGAGGCTCTGGGAGGTGGAGCAGCGCCCCCTGGAGGCTCTGGGAGGTGGAGCAGCGCCCCCTGGAGGCTCTGGGAGGTGGAGCAGCGCCCCCTGGAGGCTCTGGGAGGTGGAGCAGCTTGGAAAGGTGGCCTCAGGCAGGGAATGCCCAGCTTCCTTCCATGTTTACAGTTACCCACCCCCTGCCTTCCTTTGTCCCTGGCGTTGGGTGTGCGCGCCTCCCGGGTCAGCGATCTTTCCAGGAATCGGAGGGGAAGGCTGTTCAGAGACCGTGTGGGCTCTGCAGACGGGGAGCTGCGGCTCTGAAGGCAGGACAGTGAGTGGGGACCTGAGGGCGCTCACTTCTTCGAGGTCGTCCTGACCCCCCACTCCACCAGGAGCCCCTCTTCCTGCAGCAGCGGCCTCACCAGCGGGACCCGGAGGGGGGGTCAGGCCGGGCTGCTGGGCAGGTGCCCTTCGTGCCCCCCTCTCTCCCCATGAGGCCCCTGGGAAGGGACGAGGGGGGCAGGGGGCGCTCTCCGGGGGCCACATGATTCCAGCAGGGCCGGCGGCCAGTCCTGAGTCCCTGGGCCCGGAGGGTCCCCGTCCTGCCAGCGGCGCCCGGACAGCAGTCACCCTCACAGCCGAGCGGCTGAGCCCTCTGCCTCCGTGTCAGGAGAGTGGACGCACAACCTGTCCCCGCGTCAGCCACAGGCGCCTCGGCCGGGCGCCAGCTCCCCACGGGCCGCGCCCAGGGCTGCTCTGAGAGCTCTTTCTGGAAGGTTCCGAGTGGGCCGGGTGGGGCTCCTATGACAGGCTGTGATGCATCCACAAGCTTTTGCTTCAGGCGCCCGGGTGCCGCCGGGCTGAGCCCCAGACAGGAGCCGCGCAGAGCGCAGGGGAGACGGGCCAGCGATGGCGGCTGCTCGCGGTGCGGCTGAGCTCAGGCTGCGCCCCGCGTCCCTCCCCGGCCCGGGGTCCCCTGGTCCCTGCGCTGTGCGGGGCTCAGGGCTGCAGGCTCTGCCAGGGATCCGCTCAGCACCGTGAGCTTCTCTCAGCTCGTTTTATTCTCTTTAACCTTCACTTTGCAGAACAGGACCCAGCACAGGGCCCCTGCCCCCCAGGTCTCCCCGAGATAAGCCCCCCGCCGAGCCTAGTCCCCGTACTGCACTGTGGCTCACAGCTTCTAGATGTCATAGTGTATGATCAGCTTCAGCAGCTGCTTCTGCACGGCCTCATTGGCCATGACCATCTTGGTCAGCTGCACGGCGTCTGTCCACTCCAGGTTCCTGACGATGTCCCTGACCCTGCGGCGTAGCTTCTCCTTCTCGGCAGGTGGCAGCTCCTTGAGGATCTGAGGGACGGACTTAAACTTCCCCCTCGACATCCAGAATGATAAGCATCCCCCGACGCCGCCCCCTGGGAACAGGAGGTTCGGTTAGTCGGGATGTTCACAGTGCCAGCTTGCAGCTCCCTGGGAGCTCCTCCCCAGGATTCAGGTGGCGGCCCAGGGCTCGGGCCACAGTTTGTGATCTGAGCCACCACCTATGGTCCGGGTCACAGCCCGTGGGTTGGGTCACTGTAGGAGCGGCTTTAGGGTTAAGCCTTGGACTGACCTGTTGGCAAAGCCACAAACAAGTCCAGCTTTGAGGGCACAGCCCTCTTAGCATAATTAAGCTTGACTTTATGATGCTCACTAGATCTTAACTGGGTAGCTAATGGGCTGTGGGAGGTGCAGCAAGTGCTGCCAAAACAAGTGAAACTCATAAGAACACTGTGACTACGGTGATCACTACCTTGTTTACCTCTGGCTATAAAATAAAGCCTCAGCTTGTCGTTTGGATCCCTCTCTGTGGCCTCAGCCAGCAACAGGAAGATCCACCTAGACCCAGCTTCTTTTATCTGTCTTTTTTCAATCCTTCCCCGCCCGCCCCACCCCACAGGCTGACCAAACCCTTGGCTGTGCTGGCACAGGTCACAGCCCGTGGTGGGGTCCCCCAGGAACCTCCTGCTCCCAGACTAGAGGGAGCAACCACCCGACCTCCAAGGACCATGGGAAGCAGCCCAACCTCCCCCATTGGCAGAAACTGGTCGCCAGACGGGAGCCGGGTGAGACCAGGGGCAGGTGCATGTGGGCGACCGTGGGCGCTTCTCCTGCACAGACTGGGGACCAGGGACCGGGGACCGGGTGGGGGCCGGGCACACTCTGAACAGCTAACGTGAGCGGCCAGAGGCCTGAAATCCCAGCTCCCTCCTGACCCTGCAATGAAGACAGAGACCGGCCTGCCCAGGGGGCACAGGGCACACCCCCGGGGCAGGGCGCCTTCCAGTCCGCAGGCAGGAGGCACAGGAGGGCGTCCTGTGCTTCTGAGACACAGACACGTGTGTCCCACCGGACACGTCTGTGCACAAAGGCCGAGTCTCAGGCTCAGCTCGCCAGCCCCTCCGGCAGGTCGCAGGCTCCTGTGAGGCCCCTGGGGACCCGAGGCCTCTGTCCCCCACCCCACGGGGCACTACACTCACCAGCGGCTAGTCCTGGCGGGCCCATGACTATGGCTCCGAGTACCATCATGACGCCGGTGACCAGGAGGGACTGCTTCACGTTTTTGAAGGCTGCCTTCATCTGCTCCGCATTCCAGATGTCGCTCAGCAGATTCATGGCGTCCTCCACCCTCAGGGACATCTCGGGCGGCTTCCTGGCGTCCTTCACCTTACGGAACATCTCGCTCCTCTCCGGCCTGCGGGAGGGAGGGTTCCCACACGTCAGCTCCCACCCAAAGCTCGCTCGTCCCCATGTCCAGGGTGGAACCCCTGCTCCGGGAGGACCCAGCTCTGCCGTGGGCGAGAGGACAGCACCGTCACGTGACACGTCCTGTCACCGAGAAAGCGGGGCTGCCGGTCGTCAATAAGCAAACAGGCCCGGCTCGTGTGGCTCAGGGGTGAGCGTCGACCTGTGAGCCAGGAGGTCTGGTTGTGGGCTCCATCCCCACTAGGAGCGTGCACGAGGCAGCCGGTCCATGATTGTATCTCATCACTGATGTTTCTCTCTCTCTCTCTCCCTCTCCCTTCCTCTTTGAAATCAGTGGGAATATATTTTTAAAAATAAATGAATAAATAGAGATGAGCAGCCCGCAGCCACCCACGGGAAGTTTAGAGCTGGGCTTCCGGTCACTCCGCTGGGATCCTGGGCAGTGACCCCGGGGATGGAGGGGGCCTCCCAGTGGGCTTCAGAAGGTCGTATCAAAAATGACGGAGCCTAAGATGGCAGCGAGCTCCTTTCTTTGACAGAAAGATCGCTGGTTCACTCTAACCACCCCGCCCCCGGCCCCAGTGCACGGGGAGACACCCCAACTCCTCCCCCTGGCTGTGGGCCTGTGACAGGCCCCGTGGCCCCTCTGACCTGACCTCACCCTCCTCCCTCCATGGCCTCCGAGGGTCCCTGAGCTGTTCCCTGGGACCTTCCTCCCTCCCTCCCTCCCTGCACTGAAGGAGGACAGCGCTGAGCCTGGGAGAGGGCTGTGGGCACCTTCAGTGAGGATTAAGGGAGATAACACATGTGATGCGTGTCCCGCTGTGCGCTGTGCCCCTTGAGCTGTGATTTATTGTCCTCATTCCTGTTCTTTTTAGCGGGGGGGGGGGGGGGGGGGACTTCTGGGAAGCCTGGGCTGGGCTAACCTGAGAGGCGGACCCTGTGAGGGGTGGGAGTGGGGGAGAAGGCTTTTGGGGGTGAGCACTTGGACGGTAGGACCCCTTTCACCCACCTGTCAGAATGCTGTCAACGATGTGGCAGGAATGAGACAAACACTCAGAACTGGACCAGCACAGCAGATGGACGCCTGCGAGAAGGGTGCTCCTCCAGCTGGAATCCTGGGCCACGGCACAGGAAACAGGTATTCCTTTTTGATTTTATTTCCTGCCTCAGGTCTGCCTGCCCCTCACTCTGAACTCTGACTTGGTTGGTCAGGGCTCAGAGCTGGTTTTCTCATTAACGCCCAATTGGCTAATTCCGAGGAAAGGGAGGATAAGGCGGAGCCTAAGTTGGCGGCCCACTGAGAGTCTGAAAGTCGTATCAGAAATGGCAGAGCCTAAGGTGGCAGCGAGCTCCTTTCTTTGACAGAAAGATCACTGATTCACTCTCACCCCCCGCCCCCCACCCCCCACCCAGTGCACGGGGAGACACCCCAACTCCTCCTCCTGGCTGTGGGCTGTGACAGGCCCTCTGACCTGACCTCACCCTCCTCCCTCCGCATCCCCCGAGGGTCCCTGAGCTGTTCCCTGGGCCCAGACATGCTCCCCTCCTGCCTGTGCAGGGCTGGCTCCCCCACAGGGTGCAGCGGTGCCAGGTGACTGTCTCCCCGATCCTGCCTGGCACCACCCAGCCCTGCCGGGCACGTCAGCCTTCCTCCCGGCGGCCAGCACTCGGCATCAGAAATGACCTGCTCAGTTCACTTTCTAGCAAACGCCGCCCACCAGAAAGTCTGTCTCTGAGGGCTGGTCCCCGCTCCCTGCTGGGAGGGTGCCCACACCCCTCTGCCAGGTGCCCACAGCCCTCTCCCAGGGCTCAGAGCTGTCCTCCCTCAGTGGAGGGAGGGAGGGAGGGAGGTTCATTTTCTGGTGAGAACAGCAAACAGAAGAGGCCTCCCCATCAGCTGGGGGATGGGGGTGGGGAGGCAGGAGGAGGCAGGGCTGCTGTTTTTACCAAGAAAAACCTCCAGGTCCTGACACACAGGGTGTGAAGCTATGGTCATGGGGAGGTGGGCGGATGCCCGGGGAGCCGCTGGGACCTGGCCAGGTATGTTCGAGGAGGGAGAGGGAGGAGGGGGGTCAGAGGTGCATCCAACAACAACTGGTTTGTGTACAAGCCTGGGCCTCGCTGGGCCACACAAACTGGTCCTGGCTGGTTTTGCCTAGACAGAGGGCTCTGAGCAGACAGGTCAGGGGTGAGGGGCAACTTACTGAAGACAAATGGGGTGCACTCCCAGAATCCATCTCCTGGTGGCTCCCAACCCACCCCCACCCCACCCCCACCTCGAGGATCCAGCTCCAGAAAGTTCCAGCGCTGACAACAGGAAGGCAGGCCCCGGGGGAGCACGGGGTGGACCGACAGAGCCAGACCCTCAGGGCAAAAAGCAGGGGAAGTTCCAGTCCCTGGAGCGTGCGCTGCGGGCCCTGTCCGGGGCACCCAGGCGGCAGGGGGAGCGGGGGCCTCGTCTGCCCGCAGTTCTTTCTCCCTGTAACCTGCCCCTCCGGCTGCCACAGCGATGCCCTGTATCCAGCTTTAAATGACCCACATTCTTAAAATGCCAAAATGGCCCGGCCGGCGTGGCTCACCGGGGCACAGGCCCGGGTTTGTAGTCTCCATCCCCAGTGTGGGGCGTGCAGGAGGCAGCCGATCCATGATTGTCTCTCATCATAGATGTTTCTCTCTCTCTCCCTTCCTCTCTGAAATCAATAAAATACATATTTTAAACTGCCACTTCTTCACCCAGCAGCTTCACTTTGAGGGATCTCCCTAAAGACCATCCATCATGAGGCAAAATACAGGGGATATTAACACAAAAATGCCCTCGCAGCATTTATGATTCTAAGGACCCCCCTCCTACCCCCAGGCAGCCGCACCGGGCAGGGGCAGCTAAGAGCCAAGGAATGTTACAGCCGCCACACACGTGGGCGGGAATTACGGGTCACAGCCCCAGTGTTCATCCGTGAAAGGGTTCACAGTGGCCTAAACAGCAAGGATGCAAACTGGGTAGAAACACACACATACACACACACACACACACACACACACACACACACACGGCATTACCAGATGTGCACAAAATATACCACGTTTCATGGTGGTTGTCTGAGTGCTGGAATCGGTAGCACTTTTTAGTATATATACTCGTCTGTGTTTTTCCAAGTCTTCAGCAATCAGCATCTTACCTAATCATAGAGAAACATGTAAATTGACCGTACCTTTGCTATGCTAACCAGCCAATCAGGTGAGTATGCAAATTAACCCAATGGCAGTTAATTTGCTTATGTAGGCTCCAAGCGGTGGAGCAAAGCCTGGCGATGACTCAGACCTTCTGCCCCAACCCGCTGGTGGAGGGCCTCTGGGCCTGCTTGGTCAGCACTGCTGCCGGGATGGAGGAGCAGAGACACAGCCCATAGGGGGGCCCGGCCCTCAGCAGCCCCAACCCCCACAGCCACAGAGGCGCTGGGGACACTGGGGCTGCAGCAGAGACACAAATCGGCAGGAAACCGGTGGAAAGGGAGATAAACTATCATAACTTCATCTCCCTTTCCACAAGATGAGAAAACTGACCCTGATTTATCTGGTGATATGGCCCACACCTTTCTACAAGCACAGGGTATGTTAGGACCACTCCCAGGAAGGCCTGGTCAGAATACTGTCTCCAGGGAATAAGGCTACTGTGGCAAATCATCTAAGAGAGGAAACAAGCTTTTGTTGGGTTTATTCTGAAGGTCAGAGAACAGGCCACCCCAACATATGCCATGTTGTTATATTGACGATCTTGACCTGCAGATGCTTGAAAAACAGCAAATGCAAGGAGAGGTTTTCACTGAAGTCTCCTTCTCTGCCTAAAATCGGACCCCCCAAAAGGTTCCCTTGATGGGAAAAGTGCCATCAGCCAGTGAAGACTGACTCCTGTCACAGGACAGGAGACTAGAAGTTGACATCACACCCAAACTTTGTTACAAACTATCTCCCCCACCCCCATTCATCTTCCCTAAAAATCATGTACTCTCCTCTAAGAGGCCTACATCTCCCGTCCCCTCTCCCTAAGAAGAAGGTATTTAAATCTGGATTCTAAGCCACCTTGGGGAGTTACTCATTTTTCCCTGGGATCTCCCACATATACACGAGGTACACATGTTAATGAACTTTGGTTTTTCTCTTGGTAACCTGTCTTTCATTACAAGGGCCTCCGCTAAGAACTCAGAAGGGTAGAGGAAAACTGCTTTTCCTCCATAATTCTACCTTGGGAAATCAAGTCCCGGGCTGAACAGTGAGTTTGGCTCAAGTGCCAAGCAGTCCCGGCTGAGGGGAGGGAAGCTTCTAGGGGGAAATCAATGATGCTGGCATCAAAGTGGGACGGAGGGCACACGCAGGGGTGCTGGTGGGAGTTTAAAGTGATTCAACATTTTTGGAGGATGATTTGGCAAAATGGATAGACATGTCCAAGGTACATCCAAGAGTCTTCTAGGAATCTCATCTGCTGAGATAAAGCACGAGTGCTTAAGCCCTGGTCGGAACCCAGGATGCTACTGCGGGCTCCCCTTCCATGATGGGAAAACCTGCTACCAACCTGCATTTTTAGGCAAGGTGGCATCTACACTAATACAAAGGTAATATGCTAATTAGACTGACCATCTTCCAGACGACCTTCCGGACGTCCTTCCAGACAAAGCCATGGTGGCAGGGCTGAGGCAGAGGTGGTTAGAGGCGATCAGGCAGACAGGGGAGAGCAGTTAGGGGGATCAGACCATCAGGGGAGAGCAGTTAGGAGGATCAGGCCAACAGGCAGGTGAGCGGTTAGGTGCCAGCAGCCCCGAGGGGTTCCCTGATTGGAAAGGGTGCAGGCCAGGCTGAGAGACGCCCCAACCTCCCCCGCCCTCCGCTCCTGTGCACGAATTTCGTGCACCAGGCCTCTAGTTGACAAATAAAGGGAAAGGAATCATTTTCAAAGACCATGTTTAAACCGAGTGGATGCACACGACATTGATTGACAAGAGGGGCGGGGCAGGGGGCAGCGGAGGAGGAAGCCCTCTTATGCTTGTACCTGATTTGTACCAGCCTGGGGGGGCCTTTTCAAAAATAAATAAGTGAAGGTCTTTTACAAGGAAATAAGCCCAGGCGCTGAGCACGCCTGAGGGGAGCCAGGTAAGTACCTTCATTGCCGAGGGGGGCTCTGGGGCCAAAGCCACTGCCAGCCTCCCAGGACCCGGCTTGTTATGGGTGTCGGCTCAGTACACGTGGAGCCTCCAGCCCCCCGGGTTCAGGAGTGGGGCCCTCTCCTCCCCACACTGTTTCCCAGAGGAAAGGCAGGCTGGCTTGGGGGGTGGGGGGCGGTGGCTTCAGTGGCCATTGGTGTGGGACCTCTGACCCCTGTGCCCCTGGGCCTGGCAGAGGGCCACCCCACATGGGTAACCCCGTCACCTTGTCTGATAGGAGAACCATCCAGATGGGCCACCCTGCCCAGCCCTGGAGCAGCACAGAAGGGATGGAGGCCGGCGGCCACCCTGGGCCCAGGCTGCTGGAGGGCAGTGTCTGCGAGACCAAAGGCTCCGTCCTTCCTGAGGCACCAGGGGTTCAATCCACCCTCCAGTCTTCTTCTTTTTTTTTTTTTTAATATATTTTATTGATTTTTTACAGAGAGGAAGGGAGAGAGATGGAGAGCTAGAAACATCGATGAGAGAGAAACATGGATCAGCCGCCTCATGCACATCTCCTACCGGCGATGTGCCAGCAACCAAGGTACATGCCCTTGACCGGAATCGAACCTGGGACCTTTCAGTCCACAGACCAACGCTCTAGCCACTGAGCCAAACTGGTTTCGGCCACCCTCCAGTTTTCTGTGCACATGGAGGGGCAGGGTCAGACCATCCTAGTCAGGATGGCACCCCCCATGCACACACACACTCCCAGGGCGGCAGAGCAGCGCCCCCTGGAGGCTCTGGGAGGTGGAGCAGCGCCCCCTGGAGGCTCTGGGAGGTGGAGCAGCGCCCCCTGGAGGCTCTGGGAGGTGGAGCAGCGCCCCCTGGAGGCTCTGGGAGGCGGAGCAGCGCCCCCTGGAGGCTCTGGGAGTGGAGCAGCGCCCCCTGGAGGCTCTGGGAGACGGAGCAGCTTGGAAAGGTGGCCTCAGGCAGGAAATGCCCAGCTTCCTTCCATTTTACAGTCACCCACCCCCTGCCTTCCTTTGTCCCTGGCGTTGGGTGTGCGCGCCTCCCGGGTCAGCGATCTTTCCAGGAATCGGAGGGGAAGGCTGTTCAGAGACCGTGTGGGCTCTGCAGACGGGGAGCTGCGGCTCTGAAGGCAGGACAGTGAGTGGGGACCTGAGGGCGCTCACTTCTTCGAGGTCGTCCTGACCCCCCACTCCACCAGGAGCCCCTCTTCCTGCAGCAGCGGCCTCACCAGCGGGACCCGGAGGGGGGGGTCAGGCCGGGCTGCTGGGCAGGTGCCCTTCGTGCCCCCCTCTCTCCCCATGAGGCCCCTGGGAAGGGACGAGGGGGGCAGGGGGCGCTCTCCGGGGGCCACATGATTCCAGCAGGGCCGGCGGCCAGTCCTGAGTCCCTGGGCCCGGAGGGTCCCCGTCCTGCCAGCGGCGCCCGGACAGCAGTCACCCTCACAGCCGAGCGGCTGAGCCCTCTGCCTCCGTGTCAGGAGAGTGGACGCACAACCTGTCCCCGCGTCAGCCACAGGCGCCTCGGCCGGGCGCCAGCTCCCCACGGGCCGCGCCCAGGGCTGCTCTGAGAGCTCTTTCTGGAAGGTTCCGAGTGGGCCGGGTGGGGCTCCTATGACAGGCTGTGATGCATCCACAAGCTTTTGCTTCAGGCGCCCGGGTGCCGCCGGGCTGAGCCCCAGACAGGAGCCGCGCAGAGCGCAGGGGAGACGCGCCCGCGATGGCGGCTGCTCGCGGTGCGGCTGAGCTCAGGCTGCGCCCCGCGTCCCTCCCGGCCCGGGGTCCCCTGGTCCCTGCGCTGTGCGGGGCTCAGGGCTGCAGGCTCTGCCAGGGATCCGCTCAGCACCGTGAGCTTCTCTCGGCCCCGTTTTATTCCCTTTAACCTTCACTTTGCAGAACAGGACCCAGCACTGCCCCCCCCTCCCCCCAGCCTAGGCGCAGGACTGCATGGTGGCCTCCACCTTTTTGAGGCAGTCCTTGACCGGCACCCACAGCTGCTGCTGCAGGGCCGGGCTGTCCTTGACCTGCTTGCTCAGCCCCATGACATCCTTCCAGTCCAGGTTCTTGACGATGGCCGTGACCTCGCTGCGTAGCTTCTCCTGCTCGGCGGGCGGCAGCTCCTTGAGGATCTGAGGGACCGACTTAAACTGCCCGCTGGCCACCCAGGCCCCTAAGAGCCCCCCGACAGCGCTTCCTGGGGGACAGGAGGTTCGGTGAGTCGGGTGTTCACAGTGCCGGCTCAGAGCTCGCTGGGAGCCCGCCACAGGATTCAGGTGGCAGCCCAGGGCTCAAGTCCCAGCCCATGATTCAGGTCACAGCTGAGGTGGGGTCACCTGGGAACCTCCTGCTCCCAGATGAGAGGGAGCAACTCACCTGACCTCCAAGGACCATGGGAAACAGCCCAACCTCCCCCATTGGCAGAAACTGGTCGCCAGACGGGAGCGCGGGTGAGACCAGGGGCAGGTGCATGTGGGTGACTGTGGGCGCTTCTCCTGCACAGACTGGGGACCGGGGCGGGGCCGGGCGCTCTCTGAACAGCTAACGTGAACGGCCAGAGGCCTGGAATCCCAGCTCCCTCCTGACCCTGCAGTGAAGACAGGAAGGGGCCTGCCCAGGGGACACAGGGCACACCCCGGGGCAGGACACCTTCCAGTCCGCAGGCAGGAGCCACCAGAGGGCGCCCTGCGCTTCTGAGACACAGACACGTGTGTCCCTCGGGACACGTCTGTGCACAAAGGCTGAGTCTCAGGCTCAGCTCGCCAGCCCCTCACGCGGGTGACAGGCTCCTGTGAGGCCCTTGGGGACCCTAGGACTTCATCCCCCACCCCACGGGGCACTGCACTCACCAACGGCCACTCCTGCTGGGCCCCCGACCAGGCCCCCAAACATGGCCATGGTGCCGGTGAGCAGGGTGCCCTGACACGTGTGCTTGATGGTCACTTTCACCTCCTTCAACTCCCAGAGGCAGCTCAGCAGCTTCAGGACATCCGCCATCGACAGGGACTTCTCAGGTGGCTTCCTGGCCTCCTCCAGCTTCAGGGACATCTCGGGCGGCTCTGTGGCCTCCTCCACTTTCAGGGGCATATCGGGTTTCACGGGCCTGCGGGAGGGAGGGTTCCCACGCGTCAGCTCCCACCCAAAGCTCGCTCTTCCCAGTGTCCTGGGTGGACCCCCTGCTCCGGGAGGAGCCCAGCTCTGCTGTGGACGAGAGGACAGCACCGTCACGTGACAAGTCCTCTGTCACCGAGAAAGCGGGGCTGCCGGTCGTCAATAAGCAAACAGGCCCGGCTGGTGTGGATCAGGGGTTGAGCATCGACCTTTGAACCAGGAGGTCAGGGTTTGATTCCCGGCCAGGGCACAGGCCCAGATTGCCCGCTAGATCCTCAATGTGGGGCGTGCAGGAGGCAGCTGATCCATGATTCTCTCTCCTCACTGATATTTCTCTCTCTCTCCCTCTCCCTTCCTCTCAGAAATCAGTGGGAATATTTTTTTAAAATAAACAAATAGAGAAGAGCAGCCGGCAGCCGCCCGTGGATAGTTTAGAGCTTGGCTTCCCAGTCCCTCTGCTGGGACCCTGGGCAAGGACTCCAAGATGGAGGGGGCCCTCCCAGTGGCTTGAGGATTGAGGGGGGTAACACTTGCACTGCGTCCCGCTGTGCCTGTGAGCTGTGAGCTGTTGTTTATTTTCCTTATTCCTGTTCTTTCTGGGGGGGAGGGCCTTCTGGGAAGCCCAGGGCCTGGGTGAGGCTGAGAGTCGGCCCCTCTGTGGGGTGGGGTGGGGGGAAGGCTTTTTGGGCTGAGCACTTGGACGGTAGGACCCCCCTCACCCACCTGTTGGAAATGCTGTCAACAATATCGTCAGACTGAGACAAACACTCGGAACTGGACCAGCAAAGCAGATGGACGCCTGCGGGAAGGGTGCTCCTCCAGCTGGAACCCTGGGCCACGGCACAGGGAACAGGTATTCCCTTTTGGTTTCATTTCCTGCCTCAGGTCTGCCTGCCCCTCACTCTGAACTCTGACTTGGTTGGTCAGGGCTCAGAGCTGGTTTTCTCATTAATGGGCTATTGGCTAATTCCGAGGAAGGGGAGGGTGAGGCGGAGCCTAAGTTGGCGGCCCCCTGAGAGTCTGAAGGTCATATCAGAAAAGGCAGAGCCTAAGGTGGCAGTGACCTCCTTTCTTTGACAGAAAGATCGCTGGTTCACTCTCCTCCCCCCGCCCCCCCCCCCCCCCAGTGCACGGGGAGACACCCCAACTCCTCCTCCTGGCTGTGGGCTGTAACAGGCCCCATGGCCCCTCTGACCTGACCTCACCCTCCTCCCTCCACGGCCACCAAGGGTCCCTGAGCTGTTCCCTGGGGCCAGACATGCTCCCCTCTGGCCTTTGCAGGGCTGGCTCCCCCACAGGGTGCAGGGGGTGCCAGGTGACTGTCCCCAATCCTGCCTGGCACCACCCAGCCCAGCCGGGCACGTCAGCCTTCCTCCTGGCGGCCAGCACTGACCTGCTTGATTCTCTTTCTAGGAAACACCTCCCACCAGGAAGTCTGCCTCTGAGGGCTGGTACCCGCTCCCTGCTGGGAATGTACCCACACCCCTCTGCCAGGGCTCAGCGCTGTCCTCCATCAGTGGAAGGAGGGAGGGATGGGGGTGGCAGAGGCAGGAGGAGGTGGGGCTGCTATTTTTACCAAGAAAAACCTCCAGGTCCTGTCACACAGGGTGTGAAGCTACGGTCATGGGGAGGTGGGTGGATGCCAGGGGAGCCGCTGGGACTTGGCCAGGCCCTGTGCTCACTTCCTCCAGGCCACGCCCACTGGCCCTCTGGTCAGTGGGGACTTCAAGGCAGCCCCGGAGCTCACCCACCAAGGAATGTGGCAGCCACCACTCACGTGGGGAAAATTCCAAGTCACAGCCCCAGTGTTCATCCGTGAAACGGTTCACAGTGGCCTAAACAGCAAGGATGCAAACGCGATAGAAACACACTCACACTCACACACACACACACACACATACACACACACACACACACTCACACACACACACTCACACACACACACACGGCATTGCAAGATGTGCACAAAATATATCAAGTTTCATGGTGGTTGTCTGAGTGCTGGAATTCACAGCACTTTTTATTATATATACGCGTCTGTGTTTTTCCAAATCTTCAGCAATCAGCATCATCATAATAAAAGGCTAATATGCAAATGGATGTCACACCGTGATGCCGCAACGACCAATCAGCAGGGATCTGAGGCTGCGTGGCACCGACCCGGGCTGGGGAACCTGAGGCTGCGCTACCTGCCCCAGCGCCGGGCGCAGGGAGCTGAGACTGTACCCCCCACTTGGCAGGGCTTGACGGGGTGGGGCTGGCCAGGTCTGGTTCTCGCCCAGTGTGGGTGGGGCCGGCCGGGTCTTCATTGCCGAGGGGGGCTCTTGGGCCTAAAGCCCACTGCCAGCCACCCAGGACCCAGATTGTCATGGGCAACCGCTGAGCACAGCTTGGGGCTGCCAGCCCCAGGGTCAGGGTGGGGCCCTCTCCTCCCCATGCTGTTTCCCAGGGGAAAGGCAGTGCTGAGGGCAGGAGGGGAGACTTGTCAGCGATGGCGGCTGCTCGAGGTTCGGCTGAGCTAAGGCTGCGCCCTGCGTCCCTCCCAGGCCCAGTGTCCTCTGGTCCCTGTGCTGTGCGGGGCTCAGGGCTGCAGGCTCTCTGCCAGGGATCCGCTCAGTGCAGAGAGTTCCTCTCTGCCCCGTTTTATTCCCTTTAACCTTCACTTTCCAGAACAGGACCCAGCACAGCCCCCCCCCCCCTCCATGAGCCTAGTCTCTGTACAGCACGGTGGTCCTCAGCTCCTGGGTGACGTAGTCCTCGAGCAGCTTCAGCAGCTGCTTCTGCAGGGCCTTGCTGCCCTTGGCCAGCTTGGTCAGGTGCTGGGTGTCTGTCCACTCCAGGTCCTCGATGACGACCGAGACCTGGCTGCAGAGCTTCTCCTGCTTGGCAGGCGGCAGCTCCTTGAGGATCTGACTGACCGACTTAAACTTCGCGCTCCACACCAAGGCCCCTGCGAGCCCCCCGACGGCACTCCCTGGGGAACAGGAGGTTCGGTGAGTCGGGTGTTCACAGTGCTGGCTTGGAGCTCGCTGGGAGCTCGTCACAGGGTTCAGGTGGCAGCCCAGGGCTCGGGCCCCAGCCCACGATTCAGGCCAGTTTGTGGTCTGGGTCACAGCTCCTGGCTCAGATCCAGCCTGTGGTCCAGGTCACAAATGGTGGTCAAGGTCACGGCCCGTGGTGGGGTCACAGCCCGTGGGGGGGTCCCCGGGAACCTCCTGCTCCCAGATGAGAGGGAGCAACTCACCCAACCTCCAAGGACCATGGGAAGCAGCCCAACCTCCCCCATTGGCAGAAACTGGTCCCCAGATGGGAGCAGAGATGAGACCAGGGGCAGGTGCATGTGGGCGACCGTGGGCGCTTCTCCTGCACAGACTGGGGACCAGGGACTGGGGACCGGGGACCGGGGATGGGGGTGGGGCCAGGCGCTCTCTGAACAGCCAACATGAGCGGCCAGAGGCCTGGAATCCCAGCTCCCTCCTGACCCTGCAATGAAGACAGGAAGGGGCCTGCCCAGGGGACACAGGGCACACCCCCGGAGCAGGGCGCCTTCCAGTCCGCAGGCAGGAGCCACTGGAGGGCGCCCTGGGCTTCTGAGACACAGACACGTGTGTCCCTCCGGACACGTCTGTGCACAAAGGCCGAGTCTCAGGCTCAGCTCCCCAGCCCCTCACATGGGTCGCAGGCTCTTGTGGACCAGGGCCTTCGTCCTCCACCCCGCAGGGCACTGCACTCACCAAAGGCTAGTCCTGGTGGGCCCCCGACCAGGCCCCCGACGAAGGCCCCGGTGCTGGCGAGCCCCACAGAGCGCCGCTTCCTGCGCTTGACGGGCACCTTCATCTTCTTTGCCTCCGAGAGGGAGCACAGAAGTCTCATGGCCTCCTCCTCCGTCAGGGACGTCTCAGACGACTTCGTGGTCTCCTCCTCCTCCGTCAGGGACGTCTCGGATGAGTCCGTGGTCTCCTCCTCCGTCAGGGACATCTCGGATGAGTCCGTGGTCTCCTCCTCCGTCAGGGACGTCTCGGACGACTTCATGGTGTCCTTCAACCTATGGGACATCTCCTGCCTCTTGGATCTGCGGGAGGGAGGGTTCCCATGCGTCAGTGCTCCCACCCAAAGCTCGCTCTTCCCAGTGTCCAGGGTGGACCCCCTGCTCCAGGAGGACCCCAGCTCTGCCTTGGGTGAGAGGACAGCACCGTCATGTGAAAAGTCATCGAGAAAGCAGGGATGCAGTTAGTCAATAAGCAAACAGCCCAGCCAGCATGCCTCAGGGGTTGAGCATCGACCTAGGAACCAGGTGGTCACAGTTCGATTCCCGGTCGGGGCACATGCCTGGGTTGCAGGCTCCACCCCCAGTAGGGGGCGTGCAGGAGGCAGCTGTCCGTGATTCTCTCTCATCACTGATGTTTCTCTCTCTCTCTCCCTATCCTTTCTTCTCTGAAATCCGTGGGGATATATTTTTAAAAATAAATGCATAAATAGAGAAGAGCAGCCTGCAGCCTGTGGGTAGTTTAGAGCTGGGCTTGCCCGTCACTCTGCTGGGACCCTGGGCAGTGACTCCGAGGATGGAGGGGGCCCTGCCAGTGGTGTCAGTGAGGATTAAGGGAGATAACACTTGCAATGCGCGTCCCACTGTGCGCTGTGCCCGTGAGCTGTGAGCTCGCAGTGGGCAGTACCTGTGGTTTATTTTCCTTACTAGTCGCCCAGTGCACGGATTGTGCATGTTGAAAGGAAATTAATTAGAAGAAATATTTTAATATCACTATTTGCCCTTTCTCTATAATAGAAGTGTCAACCAATTTTACGATCGACAATGACAGATGGAAACATAGGCGCGCGATTTGCACCAGCGAGAGCTTTATATGTACTGCCCATTTGCGAGACTGAGCCTTTTATATATATACTAGAGGCCCGGTGCATGAATTCATGCACCAATAGGGTCCCTCGGCCTGGCCTGCAGGATCTGGCCGAAACTGGTTCTCTGATATCCCCCGAGGGGTCTAGGATTGCAAGAGGGTGCAGGACAGGCCAAGGGACCCCACCGGTGTACAATCTACAGCGTGAGGCCAGGGAGGGATGTGGGTGATTGGCCAGCCGGGGAGGACTGCAGGAGGGCTCCCAGGTGTGTCCGGCCCATCTTGTTCAGTCCCCATCAGCTGGACCCCAGCAGCAAGCTAACCTGCCAGTTGGAGCATCTGCCCTCTGGTGGTCAGTGCATGTCATAGCAACTGGTCGACTGTCTGCCCCTGGTGGTCAGTGCACGTCATAGTGAGCGGTTGAGCGGCCTTAGCATATCATTAGCATATTACGCTTTGATTGGTTGAATGGACGACCGGTCAACTGGACACTTAGCATATTAGGATTTTATTATATAGGACTAGAGGCCCGGTGCACAAAAATTTGTGCACTCGGGGCGGGGGGGGGGGGGGTCCCTGAGCTCGGCCTGTGCCCTCTTGCAGTCTGGGACCCCTCGGGGGATGACCACCTGCTGGCTTAGGTCTGCTCCCTGGGGTATTGGGCCTAAGCTGGCAGTCACACACCCCTCTGGCAGCCCAGGAGCCCTTGGGGGATGTCCACTTGCCAGTAGGGACCAGGCCTAAGCTGCAGTTGGACATCCTTAGCGCTTCTGAGGAGGCAGGAGAGGCTCCCACCACCACTGCTGTACTGGAAGCCATCAGCCTGGCTTGTGGCTGAGCAGAGCTCTCCCTGTGGGAGCACACTGACCACCAGGGGGCAGCTCCTGCATTGAGCATCTGCCCCCTGGTGGTCAGTGTGTGTCATAGTGACCAATCATTCCCAGTCGTTCTGCTGTTAGGGTCAATTTGCATATTAACCTTTTATTATATAGGAGTGTCTGGCCAGCCTGGGTGAGTGGCTGATGGCTGTTTGCAGGCTGGCCACAGCCCCTTCAGGGTGGGGATCCCCACTGTGATGCCTGGCCAGCCTAGGTGAGGGGCTTATGGCTGTTTGCAGGCTGGCAAAGCCCCCCAGTGGGGACCCTCACCCCATGAGGGTGTGGTCAGCCTGGGTGAGGGGCTGAGGGCCGTTTTCAGGCTAGCCACAGCCCCTTCAGGGTGGGGGGGTCCCCCCTGGGGTGCCTGGCCATTCTGGGTGAGGGGCTGAGGGCGGTTTGCAGGCTGGCCACAGCCCCTTCAAGGTGGGGGGTCCTGCTGGGGTGCCTGGCCAGTCTGGGTGAGGGGCTGAGGGCCGTTTTCAGGCTAGCCACAGCCCCTTCAGGGTGGGGGGTCCCCCCTGGGGTGCCTGGCCATTCTGGGTGAGGGGCTGAGGGCAGTTTGCAGGCTGGCCACAGCCCCTTCAAGGTGGGGGGTCCTGCTGGGGTGCCTGGCCAGTCTGGGTGAGGGGCTGAGGGCCATTTTCAGGCTGGCTAAGCCCCCCAGTGGGGACCCTCACCCCATGAGGGTGTGGTCAGCCTCAGTGAGGGGCTGATGGCTGTTTGCAGGCTGGCCACAACCCCCAGCCACCCAAGCTCCAAGAGGAGGCTGGCTGGAAGCAGGTATCTGGGATTTATTTGTCTTCTATAATTGAAACTTTGTTGCCATGAGCAGAGGCCACGGCCGGCTCAGGGCAGGCTGGAAGCTTGGCTTCCTCTATCGCTAGGGCAACCAAACCTCCTGCTTGCTCCAGCTCCGTGGCTGCCAGCCACTATCTTGGTTGGGTTAACTTGCATAAGGTCGCTCTGATTGGCCGGTGGGCATGGCTTAGGGCATAGCGAAGGTACAGTCAATTAGCATCTTTGTCTTTTATTAGTGTAGATAATAAACTTGCTTAATTAGACCTGCTTTCTGATTTAGCTAAAGTTTTTCCAGCCCAGCAAAGCACCCCAACTTCTCTTTCATGTATTTGTCAGGAACACAGCAGTGAATATCAACACGAAGCAGATTATTATTGTAGATCACGCAGGGAGAACAAAGGGTAAAATATTTAACTGCAGCAGTGTTTGACTATATTCTGTGCAGTGAGAAAACCTGAAGTCATTTTCAAGGTCCATCATTTTTTACTTCTTTTCAGTCGGGTCAAGTTTCTAAGCTTTCTAAATCTCCATTTTATGGCTAATGAAAGAAAATAGGATTCCACTGAGTCTCCTATCTGCCTACTCCAGGACTTCTGTGAGGATCAAACGAGATGAGGCAGGGGAAAACACTTCACAGACATTTGGTTAAAGTGTGAAATGTTTGCCCTAACCGGTTTGGCTCAGCGGATAGAGCGTCAGCCTGTGGACTCAAGGGTCCCAGGTTTGATTCTGGCCAAGGGCATGTACCTTGGTTGCAGGCACATCCCCAGTGGGGAGTGTGCAGGAGGCAGCTGATTGATGTTTCTCTCTCATCGATGTTTCTAACTCTCTATCCCTCTCCCTTCCTCTCTGTAAAAAAAATCAATAAGATATATATTTTAAAAAGTGTGAAATGTTTGCACACTTGGCTATAAAGCAAGCCGTGTGCCTGGGCTGAAGACACTGCAAGGAGGCTAGTCGTTGCTAGGGAGAGGAAGCTGGGCGTTGCTACGTGACGTCATTGCCTGGATGGGCACTTAGCACATTAGCCTTTTTTTTGGGGGGGGGGAGAGATATATTTATTTTTTGGTAACATACATTAGGTGGCACTAATTCCACAGTAACTATGCGGTAACTAACATGAACCACAGAACTGTACCTCGGCCACAGCGGCATGAGCCTGGGCCTCTCTGGCTGACAGCTTAGCCTTTTATGTAGATAGATTCCTGTTCTTCCTGTGGGGAGGGCCTTCTGGGAAGCCCAGGGCTGGGCGAGGCTGAGAGATGGCCCTTCTGCGGGGCAGGGTGGGAGTTAGAGGGGTTAGAGAGGGGGAGGGGGAGCACTTGAACGGTGGCACCCCCCTCGCCCACACATGTCTGACCCACCTGTTAGAAATACTGTCAACGATGTCGCAGGAATGAAAGGAACACTCGGAACTGGATCGGCCAGGAGATTGACGGCTGCGGGAAGGGTGCTCCTCCCGCGGGAACCCTGGGCCACAGCACACGGAACGGGTATTCCCTTTTGGTTTTATTTCCTGCCCCTCATTCTGAAATCTGACTTGATTGGTCAGGGCTCAGAGATGAAATTCCCATTAATGTGCAATTGGCTAATGCGCCCAGGGCAGGGTCAGCGATGGTCCCAGCAGGGCTGTCCCGAGCACCAGCGAGGTCTGCATGCGGCACACGGCCCGGTCAGCCGCCTAAAAATAGCCAGGTCTCAAATGTCCCCCTAGAGTGTGACCCTGACTCAGCAGGTGGGGCCTGGCTCCAGGGGGAGAGGCTCAGCCTGCTGCTCGAAGGCAGCCACCACTGGGGGAGGGGGGGTTAGAGAACGAGGTTCCCAGGGCCTGTGAGGCCTTCCTCACGGGGCAGACGGACCAACCAGGTGTGTGTGGGGGGGGGGGAGGTTGAAGCAGGGGATCCCTCGGGGGGGTGAGGACAACGGAGCCCCAACACGCTAGGGCGTCTGCATGCACGACTCCGGGGACCAGGTTCATTGACGCAGATCCGTTTTATTGAGGAACTACAGGGGTATATATAGCATGAGGGGACCAATCAGAGGGAGACACGTTGCTATAGGCGACCAATCAGAGGGAGACACATTGCTATAGGCGACCAATGGCTGAAAGGCTGGGGTACTATGCATGTGGCTCTAGGAGTTTGTTCAGGCGGGCACTGCTACTTCCTGGTGTGCGGAGGAAGCATGTCATGGTGGAGTGTGCTCACACCATTGCATCAGCCGCAGCACTGAGACATACTTCCTGAGCTCTACTACAGGAGGTGGCAGAGGTGCGTCCAACAACGACTGGTTTGTGTACAAGCCTGGGCCTCGCTGGGCCACACAAACTGGTCCTGGCTGGTTTTGCCTGGACAGAGGGCTCTGGGAGGACAGATCAGGGGGTGAGGGGCAACTTCCTGAAGCCACATGGGGTGTCCTCCCAGCAAGGAGGCCTGGCAGCTGGTCCCTTCACCTGCCTGGAGCTGGGCAAGGGGTGCACAGTCCCAGCCACCGCCTCCTGGTCTCAGTCCCTCCCCGGGTGTGGAGAGCGGCCACAGTGTTTGGACAGGTTCAAGCCTCTGACTAAGGAGAGGGCACAGTCCTCTCATGGCCACGTGCAAGTCCCAGCTTGGAGGGCAGAGCCTTCCCAGCACAGTGATAGCCAACAGCTGTAGTTGTGAGCTTGAACCTGTGGTCCGAACACGCGGCCCCACGTGCCTGAGTGATGTGGGAGTGATAGAGTTCAGGTGCACGTAGTTGAGTAGGATTGAAACCCACGAGAACGTTGTAAACATCTTGACCACGTCCTCACTTTGCCTCGTGGCATCTGCTATAAAATAAAGACACGGCTTGTGGGCGTGGTTGCTGTCTCTCCATCTGGGAGCAGCGTCCCACCCAGACCCAGCTTTCATTCTCTTGTCTGTCTTTCTTAATCCTTCACCGCCCCCTCTCAGGGTCTCTGAACCAGGCTGAGCTGGTGCGGCACATAAGGTGCCCTGGGGCTGAGTATGCCATGGCTGTGCCAGCTCACCACACCCAGGGCCTCCCCCGCCTGGTCCCTGGTCCGGGGCAGTGGTCATTGGGGCAGGAGCGAGGTCTGCAGGCGGCCGGGTCTGGGCAGGGACCAGGGCCCTGTTCTGAGTCCCTCCTAGAACCCATCTCCTGCTGGCTCCCACCGCACCCTCACATCGAGGAGCCAGTTCCAGAATGTTCCAGCGCTGACAGCAGAAAGGCAGGCCCAGGGGAGCACGGGGTGGGAGGACAGAGCCAGACACTCTGGGCAAAAAGCAGGGGAAGTTCCAGTCCCTGGAGCGTGTGCTGTGGGCCCTGCCAGGGGATCCCAGGCGGCAGGGGGAGCGGGGGCCTCGTCTGCCCTCAGTTCTTTCTCCCCGTAACCTGCCCCTCCAGCTGCCACAGCAAGGCCCTGTATCCAGCTTTAAATGACCCACATTCTTAAAATGCCAAAATGGCCCGGTGGGCGTGGCTCAGTGGTTGAGAGTTGATCTAGGAACCAGGAGGTCAGGGTTCCATTCCCGGTCAGGGCACCGGCCCAGGCTGCGGGCTTGATCCTCAGTGTGGGGCGTGCAGGAGGCAGCCGATCCATGATTCTCTCTCATCATTGATGTTTCTCTCTCTCCCTCTCCCTTCCTCTCTGAAATCAATAAAAAATATATACATAGTAAAAATACTGCCACTTCTTCACCCAGCAGCTTCACTTTGAGGGATCTCCCTAAAGCGGGCGGGAATTCCGGGTCACAGCCCCAGTGTTCATCCGTGAAAGGGTTCACCGTGGCCTAAACAGCAAGGATGCAAACGCGATAGAAACACACACACTCACACACACACACACACACACACACACACACACACACACGGCATTACCAGATGTGCACAAAATATACCACGTTCCATGGTGGTTGTCTGAGTGCTGGAATCCGTAGCACTTTTTATTATATATACTCGTCTGTGTTTTTCCAAGTCTTTGGCAATCAGCATTGACAAATAAAGGGAAAGGAATCATTTTCAAAGACCATGTTTAAACCGAGTGGATGCACACGACATTGATTGACAAGAGGGGCGGGGCAGGGGGCAGCGGAGGAGGAAGCCCTCTTATGCTTGTACCTGATTTGTACCAGCCTGGGGGGGCCTTTTCAAAAATAAATAAGTGAAGGTCTTTTACAAGGAAATAAGCCCAGGCGCTGAGCACGCCTGAGGGGGGCCAGGTAAGTACCTTCATTGCCGAGGGGGGCTCTGGGGCCAAAGCCACTGCCAGCCTCCCAGGACCCGGCTTGTTATGGGCGACGGCTCAGTACACGTGGGGCCTCCAGCCCCCGGGGTCAAGGGTGGGGCCCTCTCCTGCCGACACTGGTTCCCAGAGGAAAGGCAGGCTGGCTGAGGGGGGTGGGGGGATGGCTTCAGTGGCCATTGGTATGGGACCTCTGACCCCTGTGCCCCTGGGCCTGGCAGAGGGCCACCCCACATGGGTAACCCCGTCACCTTGTCTGATAGGAGAACCATCCAGATGGGCCACCCTGCCCAGCCCTGGAGCAGCACAGAAGGGATGGAGGCAGGCGGCCACCCTGGGCCCAGGCTGCTGGAGGGCAGTGTCTGCAAGACCAAAGGCTCCGTCCTTCCTGAGGCACCTGGGGTTCAATCCACTCCCCAGTTTTCTGTGCACATGGAGGTGCGGGGTCTGACCATCCTGGGCAGGAGGGCACCCCCGCCCCTCAAAACACACACACCCAGAGCTGTGGAGCAGCGCCCCCTGGAGGCACAAGGAGGGGGAGCAGCACCCCCTGGGAGTGGAGCAGCGCCCCCTGGAAGCACTGGGAGGCGGAGCAGCGCCCCCTGGAAGCACTGGGAGGCGGAGCAGCGCCCCCTGGAGGCTCTGGGAGTGGAGCAGCGCCCCCTGGAGGCACTGGGAGGTGGAGCAGCCTGGAAAGGTGGCCTCAGGCAGGAAATGCCCAGCTTCCTTCCATGTTTACAGTCACCCACCCCCTGCCTTCCTTTGTCCCTGGCGTTGGGTGTGCGCGCCTCCTGGGTCAGCGATCTTTCCAGGAATCGGAGGGGAAGGCTGTTCAGAGACCGTGTGGGCTCTGCAGACGGGGAGCTGCGGCTCTGAAGGCAGGACAGTGAGTGGGGACCTGAGGGCGGTCACTTCTTCGAGGTCCTCCCGACCCCCCACTTCACCAGGAGCCCCTCTTCCTGCAGCAGCGGCCTCACCAGCGGGACCCGGAGGGGGAGTCAGGCCGGGCTGCTGGGCCGGTGCCCTTGGTGCCCCCCTCTTCCCCCATGAGGCCCCTGGGAAGGGATGAGGGGGGCAGGGGGCGCTCTCCGGGGGCCACATGATTCCAGCAGGGCCGGCGGCCAGGCCCCAAGACCCTGGGCCCGAAGGGGTCCCATCCTGCCAGGGGCACCCGGACAGCAGTCACCTTCAACGCTGAGTGGCTGAGCCCTCTGCCTCCGTGTCAGGAGAGTGGACGCACAACCTGTCCCCGCGTCAGCCACAGGCGCCTCTGCCAGGCACCAGCTCCCCACGGGCCGCGCCCAGGGCGGCTTCATCAGCATTTTCCAGAACAGGCCCCAGCACAGGCCCCCAGGCGCTCCCCGAGCTCGGTGCCCCCGCCCGAGCCTAGTCTCCGTACTGCACCTCGGCCTGCAGCTCCTTGGTGACGTAGCCGACAAGCAGCGCCAGCAGCCGCTCCTGCAGGGCCTCGCTGCCCATGACCAGCATGGTGAGCTGCACGGCGTCCGTCCACTCCAGGTGCCTGACGATGGCCGTGACCTGGTTGAGCAGCTTCTCCTGCTCGGCGGGCGGCAGCTCCATGAGGATCTGAGGGACCGGCTTGAACTGCCCGCTGGTCATCCAGGCCCCTAGGAGCCCCCCGACGGCGCCCCCTGCGGGACAGGAAGTTTGGTGAGTCGGGCTGTTCACAGTGCCAGCTCGGAGCTCGCTGGGGGCACGTCACAGGATTCAGGTGGCAGCCCATGGCTCAGGCCACAGTTTGTGGCCCAGGTCACAGACCGTGGTTCAGGCCCAGCCTGTGGTCCAGGTCACAGACCGTGGTTCAGGCCCAGCCTGTGGTCCAGGTCACAGCCCGTGGTTCAGGCCCAGCCTGTGGTCCAGGTCACAGCCCGTGGTCCGGGTCAAGCCCACGGTGGGGTCACCCGGGAACCTCCTGCTCCCAGACTAGAGGGAGCAACTCACACGACCTCCAAGGGACCATGGAACCAGCCCAACCTCCCCCATTGGCAGAAACTGGACCCCAGACGGGAGCAGGGGTGAGACCAGGGGCAGGTGCATGTGGGCAACCGTGGGCACTTCTCCTGCACAAACTGGGGACTGGGGATTGGGGTGGGGCCGGGCGCTCTCTGAGCGGCCAGAGTCCTGGAATCCCAGCTCCCTCCTGACCCTGCAGTGAAGACAGGACCTGGCCTGCCCAGGGGACACAGGGCACACCCCGGGGCAGGGCGCCTTCCAGTCCGCAGACACGGAGCCACAGGAGGGCGCCCTGTGCTTCTGAGACACAAACACGTGTGTCCCACCGGACACGTCTGTGCACAAAGGCCGAGTCTCAGGCTCAGCTCGCCAGCCCCTCACGCAGGTCGCAGGCTCCTGTGAGGTCCCTGGGGACTCAGGGCCTCTGTCCCCCACCCCACGGGGCACTGCACTCACCAACGGCCAGTCCTGGCGGGCCCCCGACCAGGCCCCCGACGAAGGCCACGGCACCGGTGACCAGGGCGCCCCGCCCCGCGTGCTTGACGGCCGCCTTCATCTTCCTCGCCTCCGAGAGGGAGCACAGCAATTTCATGGCCTCCTCCACCATCAGGGGCATTGCGTGCCCCGCCGGCCTGCGGAGGGAGGGTCCCACGCGTCAGCTCCCACCCAAAGCTCGCTTGTCCCAGTGTCCAGGGCGGACCCCCTGCTCCAGGACCCCAGCTCTGCCGTGGGCGGGAGGACAGCACCGTCACGTGACAAGTCCTCTGTCACCGAGAAAGCAGGGCTTCCGGTAGTCAATAAGCAAACAGGCCCGGCTGGTGTGGCTCAGTGGTTGAGGAGGTCGGGGTTCGATTCCCGGTCAGGGCACAGGCCCGGTTGCGGGCTCGATCCTCAGTGTGGGGAGTGCAGGAGGCAGCCCATCAATGATTCTCTCATCACTGATCTCTCTCTCTCTCTCCCTCCCTCTCCTTTCCTCCCTGAAATCAAGAAAAAGAAAAATAATAAAAAAATAAAAAGCCACCACCAGGAAAGGCAACCCACCCCCATTTGTGGGCCGGGAGGCGGCAAGAACACGCAACAGCCAGAGAATGAAAGAATCACACAATCCCAGGGACCCTAGGACACGTGGATCGTACGGAGCGGGACTCCACCTTGGGAATAACGTTGCAGCAAGTCTCTGGGGTCAGGAGACTGTTGGCCAAGCTGGCAGGTGGGACATGGCAGGGCGGGGCGGGCTCTGCCCAGGGTCCTGGGGATGGAGTGCCCCCGCCTGGCAGGGCTGGAAAGTAAAGTCAAAGCTGAGCTATTTCCAGCTTGAGCTGCAGCCAAGCCAAGCCCAGCACCTCCCTCCCCCTCCCCTTCCGCGGGGCTGACTCATGCTGGCAGCTGTAAGGAGGCCGAGGACACAGGGCAGCCTCTTGCTCCATGTCTTGGGGTTGATGAGGGTTTTCTGAACCGCGGGCAACCCGGATCTGTCTCCTCTGTGCAACTGTCCTCCCGGCCCCGGGGGAACTGGGAGCTGTCAGATCCAATCGGCGGATCTGCCCCACCCACAGGCAGGGTTTCGGCACTTCTCGCTGTCCCAGGAGACCCTGGGACCCAGTGCCTGGGACCCTTCTTTTATATATTTTATATTTATATGTTTTACATGGACTTCAGAGAGGAAAGGGGAGGGAGAGAGAGAGAGAAACATCCATGATGACAGAGAATCACGGATCTGCTGCCTCCTGCACGCCCCACATGGGATGGAGCCCACAACCCCGGCCTGTGCCCTCACCAGGAATCGAACCCTGACCTCCTGGTTCATGGATCGACCCTCAAGCACTGAACCACGGGTGGCCGGACCCTCTGACATTCCCCAGATCACGGCCCCCAAGGGCACAGGTCACTGAAGGTCACGGTAGCTCCGCAGCCTGGTGGGGGAGCTGCCTTCACAGCGAGCCCAGGGGTCTCCAGCTGCACTGGGAGGCAGGACTGAAGGGCCTGACCCGGGACTCCGGCGTCCATGACTCCGTCCTCGAGTCAAATTGCAAAACAGCATCAGCCAGAGGAGTCAGTCTGCCAAGTGGGGTTTGAGGCAGCGGAGGGCGGGCCCTGGGGCGCTGGCCCAGGCACTGGTGGGTGTGTATGTGCGGGGGTGGGGGGCGCTGGGCCTGCTCCACTCCCAGGAGTCCCGGACCCCCAAACCCCTCCTGACTCCCCTGCGTCCCAAAGAGCTGTGTGCAGAGTTAACAGGGGTGACTCCTGGCGGATGACCAGGGACTGAAAAGGCAAACACGCCGGAGACCAGGTCACGGGGTCAGGTCCTCTCCCGCCTCGGAGACGCCCCTGCCCCGTCCCCTCCTCGCAACACGGTCTGGGGTTCCGCCTGGAGCAGTGCCCCCCACCCCCGATGTCCGTTCTCCTCATCTCGGACAGGCGCTGTGGCCTCTGCCTTCGAACGGCCTTTTCTTTCTAGGGGGGCAGCTGCTGGCATTTCAATCGGGGAGCGCACAGGCACCTGAGCCCGTCTCCGCTGCAAAATCGGAAGGGAGGGCCGGCCGCCCAGGACCCGCCTCCCCGGCAACGGAGGCCGGAGCTGCCCGCTGCGCCCCGCCTGCCTGCGCGCCTCCGGCTCCCCTTTAAAGGCTAAAGCTGCCCCCAGGCCCGACCAAGAGGAACCCCCTCCTACATCGCGGACAGACCCCCCGGGTCCCCCCAACCCCCCGCCCAGAGCCTCCTCCCCCGGGCAGGCCAGGTGCGCCCGTGGGCAGGTGCCGCCCGCCCCGACGCCCCCGGCCCGGCGGCAGGACACCCGCGGCCGGGGACGGGCGGGGACGCGGTCCCTGGGGGGGGCGGGGAGGGCGCGCCGGCACCGGGCCCCGCGGGAGGTCGCGCACCGCTTCCCGGGCCGCGCGGCGAGTGACGGGCCTGGCGCCGGGTCCCCGCGGGGCGCTGGGTGCGGCCGGGGTCAGGCGCCCGGGGCCACCCGCCCTCCGCTTCCGCTTCCTCCGGGCGGACCGCACGCCCCGCGCTCCACGTCTCCCTCCGGAGGATGAATGAGCCGCCGGGGCCGCCGCGGGTGCAGGTCGCTCCGCGGGCCCCGGACACGCGCGCCCCCCCCCCGCTCCCCCCCACCACCGCCCGCGCGACGCTCACCTGCGGGGGCCGCCGCGTCACCGCCGCCCCGGGACTCCGCCCGAGGGTCACCCCGACCGCCAGCTCCGCGCAGGCCCCGCCCTCCCGCCTTCCGGCTCGGGCGCCGGGACCTTCCGGGTCGCCACGGACGCGGAGCCGCCACGGAACACGGAGCCGCCACGGACGCGGAGCCGCCACGGACGCGGAGCCGCCACGGAACACGGAGCCGCCACGGACGCGGAGCCGCGAGACCGGGTCCTGGGGCGCAGCGACCGCGCTCGGGTCCCTGGTCGCGGGCCTCTCGGGAGGACCCCGGGCAGGACGTGCGCCCCTCCGACCCGGCCCCGCCCCCGGTCTGCTGTGTGGCCCCGAGGGCACCCCTGCCCTCACCCCGCCCCACACGGAGCCCCTGTCTGTGGGCCTCGGGCCTAGGGACCCACCTCCTCCCAGCCCCGCGCGCCAGAGCACAGGGCCTGGGAGGTGAGGGGCCGAGTCAGTGTTTGGCGACTCACAGGCCAGAGTCTAACGGCAGGGCCTCCGGGCCTGGGCGCGGGTTTAGGGGAGCGGGGGCGTGGACAGGCCAAGGGCAGCTTTACTACTGGGGCTCCAGGACCAAGCGGATGGGGAGCCGGGAGGATGCAAAGGGCCTGAGGAGTGTGGGTAACAGGGCCCCGCAGATCCCCAAATCCCCCAATCCCCCAGTTAGAGATTGTTTGTAATACAAATACCACTAAGTGCTGAGTGAGTAGCGGTTACATTGTCTTCTTAGGGAATCATGACAGGAAAACCATGTCTGCACCTGTTCAGTTCGAGTTGGTTTAGGCCTAACTACACAGTGACGTCAGCAACAATATAACAACATAACTAACCCCCCAGTAATGTCAGCAACAATGTAACAACATAACTAACCACCCAGCGACGTCAGCAACAATGTAACAACATAACTAACCACCCAGCGACGTCAGCAACAATGTAACAACATAACTAACCACCCAGCGATGTCAGCAACAATGTAACAACATAACTAACCACCCAGCGATGTCAGCAACAATGTAACAACATAACTAACCACCCAGCGATGTCAGCAACAATGTAACAACATAACTAACCACCCAGTGACACCAGCAACAATGTAACAACATAACTAACCACCCAGCGATGTCAGCAACAATGTAACAACATAACTAACCACCCAGCGATGTCAGCAACAATGTAACAACATAACTAACCGCCCAGTGACGCCAGCAACAATGTAACGACATAACCAACCACCCAGCGATGTCAGCAACAATGTAACAACATAACTAACCACCCAGCGATGTCAGCAACAATGTAACAACATAACTAACCACCCAGTGAGGTCAGCAACAATGTAACAACATAACTAACCACCCAGCAATGTCAGCAACAATGTAACAACATAACTAACCACCCAGCGAGGTCAGCAACAATGTAACAACATAACTAACCCAGCGATGTCAGCAACAATGTAACAACATAACTAACCACCCAGCGACGTCAGCAACAATGTAACAACATAACTAACCACCCAGTGACGCCAGCAACAATGTAACAACATAACTAACCACCCAGAGATGTCAGCAACAATGTAACAACATAACTAACCACCCAGTGAGGTCAGCAACAATGTAACAACATAACTAACCACCCAGTGAGGTCAGCAACAATGTAACAACATAACTAACCACCCAGCGATGTCAGCAACAATGTAACAACATAACTAACCACCCAGTGAGGTCAGCAACAATGTAACAACATAACTAACCACCCAGCGATGTCAGCAACAATGTAACAACATAACTAACCACCCAGTGACGCCAGCAACAATGTAACAACATAACTAACCACCCAGCGATGTCAGCAACAATGTAACAACATAACTAACCACCCAGTGAGGTCAGCAACAATGTAACAACATAACTTGCACCCTGGCCCTGCCTTTGGAGCACCTTTTACATCATAGTTTTACTTGACCTGTTCTGTGCACTGGTAGGCGTAGACCCACAAATACTAGTACTCCCACCATGCTACGGTGGCCTGCGGAGGTCAGCACAGTGACACGCTGGGCAGGCGTGTGGGCCGGGAGCGACAGTGCACTCCCAGGCGTGTGCACAACCACAAGACTGCCCAAAACTGTCCTGTCATCACTTATACTTCTGTTCCCCTGTCCTCCCCTCCCCGCCTCCCCTGTCCCCCTACAGGGAGGGCCTGAAGCATGAGCCAGGACTCCCCCGTCTGCAGGGACAAACCCCATGCACCTCTGACCGGGAGCTTTAGCTAGAGTTGGGGTGACTGAGGCTGCGCCCTAGCCCAGGTTAGGGTGAGCCCAGCTCCGGGGTGGGGAGGAGATGGGAGCCCAACCTTGGGCCTGGGAGAGGTTCGGTTTCTCTGCGGACAGCGCCCCCTGGCGGCCCATGAAGTCAGGGCGGCTCCCTCCTTCCCTGGAGACAGGCAGAGGGGACCAGGACGGGGAGGCTTCTGGGCGGCTCTGGGGAAGGAGAGCGGTGAGAATCCTGCGCCCCTTCAGCCCGTCGGGTCTGAGGCCACGAAACGCTGTGACACGCGGCACCGCACCCTCCCGCGGCGGCGGGGCCTCCTGCGTGGGTCCCCAGCGCACAGCGACGCACAGCCCCGACCTGCCCGGTGGCCCTGGGGAGTCATTCCGATCCCCGGCCTCGGTTTCCTCATTGGGGAAAAGGCAGTGAAAATGCTGGTGCCCCTGGGGCTGTGCTGGAGCTCCCAGGAGGCCATGCGTGGGGTCTCAATTGTTCTCGTTGCCCTGTCCAGTGTGGCTCAGTGGGTAGAGCCTCCGCCTGTGGACTGAAGGGCCCCGGGTTGGATTCTGGTCAAGGGCATGTACCTCGGTTGCAGGCTCCATCCCCTGCCCTGGTCAGGGCGTAGGCGGGAGGCAACCAGCCCATGTGTCTCTCTCACATCGATGTTTCTCTCTCTCTGTCTCTCCCCCTCCCTTCCACTCTCTCTAAAATCAACTGAAAAATATCCTCAGGTGAGGATCAACAAAAAATTAAGAATGAATAGAAATAATGGTTCTCGTACACATCGCAGGGTGTGAGCTGACCGGTCAGGGCACAGGCCCGGGTTGCGGGTCCATCCCCAGGAGGCGGCTGATCCATGATTCTCTCTCATCACTAATGTTCCTGTCTCTCCCTCTCCCTTCCTCTCTGAAATCAATAAAAATATATTTTAAAAAACAAAACAAAAAACCGGACGTCTTCTCGGATGACTGAGCCGCCGTGACCAGAGTCTGAAACCTCACCCGCCCACACCGAGCTCAGCCCGCACCGAGGCCACCAGGGCGGTTCATTAGGGGGCGGGTCGGACAGTAACGCTCGATGCACCGAAATCACTAGCGGGGCAGCTGTGCAGGCCTGTGTCCCCACGTCCGACCCCGAGCACCACTCAGCCCCCTGTCTCCCCTGCACACGCCCGTTTGGACACTGGCCTGCCCCCCTCCTTCGCGGCCACCTGTGGGAGTGAGCGCGCCCCATGGGAACCTGAGCTCGGCCTGCTGCCTCTTTTTTTTTTAAATGTATTTTTATCAATTTCAGAGAGGGAGAGAGGAAGAGAGAGATAGAAGCATCAATGATGAGAGCGAATCATGGATCGGCTGCCTCCTGCACGCCCCCAACTGGGGATCGACCCTGCAACCTGGGCCTGTGCCCTGGGAATAGAACCGTGACCTCCTGGCTCCTAGGTCGACGCTCACCACTGAGCCACACTGGCCGGGCTGCCGGCTGCCTCCACAGGCCACACAGAAGCGCCAGGATGATTTGCTGGAGGGAAACCAGGCATAAGACGGGCTGCTTTCTTAAGGTTCATCCTCCGGGATTCAGAGGCCTGGGGGCGGCTCCTGGGAGAAAGGCCTGAGAAAGGCACTAACGGGTTTGCCCCAAGGCACGTCCCAGGCTCTGCTGCTGCTGCGCGGGGACCGGCATGGACGCTGCCGCCAGGGGGCGCCGGAGGCCCGGAGATCAGAGCCACGGCGGCACCGCTCTGTGTTCACACCCAGCATCTGGCTTGGGGGCCCTGCCCCGCGGTCGCCCAGGTCTCCGCGGTCTCTGCTGCGGTGACGTCATGCTGTGGGGGCCCCGTGGGGCATCGGTGTCCCCCGCGGAGACAGGGAACTGCAAGGCCGGCTGCTGCTTCCACCGCCCGGGGCTGCAGGAGGAACACCAGGGTCTCAGCTACGCCGCGTTCTCACCACCTGTGGGCTGACACAGACAGACATCCCTTGGCTTATTGTTTTTAATATATATTTTTATTGATTTCAGAGAGGAAGGGAGAGGGAGAGAGAGAGAGACATCAACGATGAGAGGGATGCATGGAGGGGCTGCCTCCTGCCCGCCCCCCACAGGGATGGAGCCCACCACCCTGGCCTGTGCCCTGACCGGGCATGGAACCGTGGCAGCCAACCACTGAGCCACGCCGGCCGGGCTCCACTTCGGGTTGTTTCCGGGGAAGTCGGAGTTTGGAGACACTGGCATGACCTGGGTCTTTCCC